TGAAGGTGGCAAGGAAAACATAGAGTAGATCAGCCCTTTCCAAGAAGAAAGGGAAAGAACTTTCTGGAAGAGATGGTGTTTTACCTGAGCTTGTGCTTCAGCCCAAGAAAACCACTCAGGCTCCTAAGGGTGAGCCTGTGAGGTTGAATGTTAGAGTCTAGAAGATAAATAGATACCCCTGGCCTTGGAAATGAAAGAACCCATCAATCTTCTCCTCTTTCTCTGTTCATCAGACGATTGAAGACTTTTGCCAGGACCTCTCCCCATGCCCTTTGAGGTGTCACCCGCATGTGTTTATGGAGCCCTGGCTGTGCGTGGGGCACGCTGCAGGGCTAAGGAGGGTGCAGATGCAGACACATGGATAAAGGGATGAGCAAGTGCCAAGGCTCTGACCTGTGAGTAGTCGAGAGAAGTCTGAGGGCCAGCCGGGACTGACCCTCCCAGGTGCTGGCCGGGAGCTGGGGCTGATACCCAGGAGGCATTGAGAGAGCTGGGGACGGTGGGGAGGGGTGCCTCCTTGGCAGTGAGGTCACAGGGAGGACCCTGGCCCCCCTCAAGGACAGGGTGGAGCAAGTCACAGGATCAAGGCCAGGATACGGAATTGGGACTTCTTCTCGAAGGCCATGGTCAGCTTTTGGAGCAAGGTTGTGTGACATAAAAGCTGTGTCTCCAAAGCCCGGGGAAGAGGATCCCAGATTTGTAAATCCTGGTGGGGAAAGTGCCAGTAGTATGCCATTCCTGCCCACCCTCCCGCCCCCCCCAGTCCTGTTCACTGGCCGGTCCTGCTGGTCTCAGGCTCATGTTCACATGCGGATGTAGAACGTGGGCCACCCGGGAGGCCTGAGATGGAAGAGCTCCCACCAGCTGGAACCTCAAGGGGAGGGCAGTGAGCAACAGAGTCATGGGGCATGGGGTGGACTTTGGGGGTCCCCAGTGGAGGGGCAAGTTGCCAGCAGGCAGTGATGGTCCTGTCAGAGCAGGAGCCTGGCTAGAGTTGGGCTCCCTAAAGAGAAGGTGCACGTGCTTTCATGCAGCCTCCCTGCAGCCCCCACCACGGGGTAGTGGACGGTGGGGAAGGCCAGCGACTGGAAGAAACAGGACCTGGGCCATTCTCCATCTGTGTTTACATTCTCATTCTTTGTTCTCTCCAGATGGGTTTTTTTCTGTGATCTGACCTACTTTTCTTTAGCGTGTGTGCTTGGCTAATTAGCAGGGCAGGGGTCTATCACTCCTGTTTGGCGAGTGTGGGTGCTATGGCAACTAGAGACTCCTCTGCGGGCAAAGATAGAACCGCTCAAGTTTGTTTTTCTTGGGGTATCAGAGGTGCTTCAGATGGCTCACCCTCCTGGACTGGCTCAGGCCCTTGCACCTCACTGGGATTTAAGAGTCTCTACCACAGAGTTTCTCTCTCAATTACAGAGGGTTGGCAGGTTTGCTTATCTTTCTGGTATGTGTCAGTAACTTGAGGATAGGCTCATCTTATTCAACATTTATGGGCCAGGTAAATGGCAAGTGAATGATATATGTTGAATTGCTAATAGTTTTAGAAATGATGGGTGCCTCCCTTGACTTATTCCGGTTTCTAGGGTGTCTGGGAGACATCACTAGGAGGGTTGGTAGGGGAGTCTGTTGCCTAAGTGGGTTTAGTCTGCCATCAGGGTCCCAGAGTATGTGTGCGAGGGTCGAAAGGTCCCAAGAGGGGCTGCTTGAGTTCAGGATCTCATTGCAGCCATGGTTAGAAGCTCCAGGGATCACTGGTTTGCTCTGGAGGGGAAATGCTCTGCTTGGGGAGGCCAGGGTAAAGTCTGGAGAACAGGCTGGCAATGAAGAGGTGGTAAGGAAGGAAGGACCAGCTGGGCTGCGTGAAGGCAGTCCCTCCTGGAAGAAAGGTCCGGAGTCAGCAGAGGGGAGCCATGGGCATGGCATCTGTAGCCCCAGCCCCAGGTAATGGCCTGAGTGGGTGCTCAGTGCGGGTGTGCGTACCTGAGGGAGCAAGTGGTTGGAGCTCTAACTGCTTGCATTTTAGTAATGCTGGATGGAATCTGTGCTTTCTCACTGTACAAACCCATGATTTAACCTTTGTGGAATGATCTGGGGTGGGACGGGGTGAGGCAAGGAGGAGGGGGAGGCAGTGGACAGGCAGGAGTGGGGGGGGGAGGGGGTGGTGTCTGTGTCATGAGCAGGTCTTAGGTTATGGATGACCATAACCCAGGGCTGGATCCACAGAGCATTGACGCGGGGTCCAATGGCCCCAGACTGCTGTTTTGAGCAGTTTGTCTATCTTTTTGCTTTTTCTTAGCTGTTCTTCTTGGGTCCTATCAATGTATCTTAAGCCGCTTGTCTTGGTCGGCTTGGGCTGCTCTGGCAAAAACAGCATGGTCTGGGTGGCGCAGACAGGAGCACCTACCGCTCACAGTTCTGGAGGCTACAAGGGTGATGGCGTGACGGGGTCCTCAGCCAGAGTCGTCTTCCTGGTTTGCAGAAGGCAGCCTTCTTGCTGTGTCCTCAGCTGGCAAAGAGGGAGAAGGAGGGAGAGAGAGAGGAGGAGAGAGGAGAGCGAGCGCAGGAACTCGGGGCACACCACCAGGCCACAGCAAGCCCTTGTCCTTCCAGAATAGCTCTCCCTCCTTCCACCCCCTTTTCTCGTTTTACATTTCCTGTCGGCTGAATTACTAGATGACCAAATTTGTTTCAATTATGTGTAAACTGAGCATCAAGAGGTTGTCAGTGAGGGCACGAGAAGCTCTTCCGTGAACCCACAGCGCAAACGCGTCATGTCTGGATTTGTGTTATCACCGGTCCCCACACTGCACTCGTCTCTCCCCTGGTTCTTGGGGGTGTATTTGGCATCACTGAGTTGGTGGTAGCCTGTGAAGTGTCAGTGCGTCATGACATTAGAGTAGTGGGGACTCGAAATAAAAGCACCTCATTTTACTGCTTCCTTATTTCCTTTATGGCACTTAGGGGAAAATGCTTCTCATAAAGAAGGAAAGAAAATTAGCACTGCTCAGCACCAGTTGGAGTCCCGCTCCTGGGACCCTCTGTATACATATATATTATTTGGTTTAATTTCCCAATTCCCTTCAAAGTGGATGCTTTCTCTCTTTTGCCAGCCAGGGAAGCAGAGGCTCAGGGTGGTTAAGTGGTTGGCTCCAGGGCACCCCACAAATGAGGGAGAAGTCCGGATTTGAATTCCGGTCTCATTTCAAAGCCCTCTCCCGTTTTTGCAGCAAACCGCTATCTGCGGAAGGCGAGGACACTTGAGCTGTTCTGTGCTTTCATGTGTCAGGAACAAAAAAGCAGATGGGTTCTGATTGTGGTTCTTCACTGGTGTAGTGACAAGTTTGGGTCAAGGCCATACTCTCCGTGCCCAGGGAAGGGTTCGCTTTCCTCAAAAAAAACTAAGTCTATGTTAGGGCTTATGGAATTTTCAGCTCCACACAATAAGGTTGCTGGGACTCCCAACTGCCCACAGGGCCCAAGAGATCTGCTATCTAACGGGAAACCAAGCCTGAGGGCACTGGAGGCGAACACAGAACACATGGCAGAATCCTCGCCCCCCCGATGACATCCTTCCCTGACAGTGAGTGACAGCTGCCCAGGAGGTGCTCCCCAGAGCAAGCCTCCTCAGGCCACCCTGGCAGTGACCCTCCCTGCAAGATGGACACAGTCATTAGCCATCTTCATGGACATGCAAAAGTAAACCTTCTCAGTGTTTCCTGGAAATTTCATGTTGTTGCGTCCTGCGAAACAGTTTTGATTTTCTGGCTTTTGGTTTGACACTAATCTTAAACAGGCACAGAGGAAAGGCTGCCCACCATGAAGTCTAGAACCATCCTGACATTATGAGCCACCACCTCAAGAGGTCCTGTCCAAACATCCTTGCCACAGTTTCAGAAAACACTCAGGGCATTGGAGGAAATTTTAAAAATGCTTTGAGCAGTTCTGTTTACATTTTATTTTTCTTTTGGCCACAAGTTAGATGCATTTTAAGCTCACTGTGCTGTGGGGTGAAGACATGTCGGGAAAGTGTAGAAGGATTTTCAACTTACCCTCAGGGGCTCACTTTAATTCAGTTGCTGGCCTGTGTTTGGAGCTCAGAATGCAGTTAAACCGAAAGTAGAGCTGGGGCAGATGGTCAGGCTCCCAGGTGTGCCCCGAACCTCCGAGCCTGTGAGACATGAAACCCTGCTCTAGTAGCTTTTGGTGAGAAGGCCCAGGACCCCCAGCCTTGAACCTTTCTACGGTAGCTGGAGTCAGGTGGGTCACCTGGCTGGGTGGACATTGTTGTCCTAGCCAGGGCATGGGGGTGGGTGCTGGGGGCACCCTGATGGGGTGTGTTTAGAATCACAGAGATGGGCCATTTGGTTGCAGGTCACAGCAAGCAGCCTTTTCCCTGGACAGCCGGTGGCTTTAGGGGCCTGGCATGGGCAGATCAGCTTGCTTGGCCTCTGGTTAGGATGAGCACTTTGCTCAGGGCTTCTCCGTGGAGAATTCTTCTGGTGGCCAAAGGTAGAGTTTTGCCCACCCCTTAGCAGGCCCTGTGCTTCTTTCTCTCCACCTTGCCCCCCTCCCCCATTGTGTGAGCAAATTGGAGGCTGGGCCTGGGCTCGCTGGGAGCTGGGAGCCAGGCCCTGGAATCTCCCTGGTGCACAAGCCTCATCCGGCTGCTCCAGGCCTGCCCTCCCCTCCCGGAGGCAGAAGCAGGCAGTGGGAACCTCACACATCTCGTCCATTTCCCACTGCAGCCTGTTTACCTGCCCTCTCCCCCGACACACACACACACACACACACACACACACACACACACACACCCCCACACCCCACCCCACCCCACCCCCAGGTGTGGGAAAGTCCATTCCCTTCCTCCTGGAGGGATGAGCCAATCAGGGTGAGATTACCCCCACTTCTCTCGGTGGTCAGTCCGGCCGAGACCACCACGCCCCTCCCTCATCCCCCCCGCCAGCCCGCCGTGCATTTGCATTTCAAAGCCACACCATGCGGGCGGTCGGGGCGAGGCTGGGGGAGGCCGAGGGCCGAGGGAGGGTCTTCGCCCTCCCTCCTCCGGCCCAGTTTCCGGAGCTCCCTGCGATGGAGCTTTGTGAGGATGCAGGCGTCGGGGCTGCTTGGCGGTGATGACATCACCGTGTCACACACAGAAGCCGGGCTGCCGGGGTGGGGGGGCGGTTTAGGAGCAGCTCGGCTTGGACCACACCGGCGCTCACGCTCACAACTCGCGCGCCCCGGGCAGAGCCGCGCGCGCCGGCCGCACTCTCGCGCGCGCACTGTTAGGCGCGCGCCGGCCGCACTCGCGCGCGCGCACACATTTCCGCGGCGCTCGCTCCCCGGGCTCCGGCTCGGGCCCTCAGGCGCAGCTCCACGCCGCCGCCGCCGCCGCCGCCGCCGCCGCCACGGATGCCAGCAGCTGCTCCCATCTGCAGTGCAGCAGCCCCGGCCGCCGGCCGGTCCGCCCCGGCTCCCCGCTGGAGGAATCGCGCCCGGACGCTGGCCCCGCTCGCGGCTAGTCTGCTCGCCAGGGCGCAGCGAGGATGGGAGGGTCGCAGTCCTTGCAGCCAGTCCCAGCCAGCGACCCGAACCTGGAGGCTTCCGAGGCAATGTAAGTGCTCCGTCGGGCCAGCCCGGAACCCTCCCCCCTCCTCCCCGGAGGAGGTGAGGCTGCCTGGGCTTTGTTAGTGTCGCCTCTCCTGATGCGGCAGCCCGGAGCCCTGGCCGGCCCAGCATTCTCGGCAGCCTTGAGCGGCTTTGCCTGGTGGCTGCTCCTTCTAGCATGAGGTGCTCCCTCTGGAATGAGCATCTGGCAGCCCCAGGATACGGCCCCCTCCCCCCCGCCCCGAAGGGGGGAGGCAGAAATGACCCTCTGGCATTTGATTTGAGTTGTTCAGCAGCCCAGTGCATGTTCCGGGGCTCCTGCCGTGGGCATCTTAACTCTGCACCCCCAGCACAGTGGTATTTCCTGCAACAGAACAGCCGGGCATCAACAGGGGCCTCTTGGGAAGAACCCTCGAGTGTGGCAGCTTGGTGCCCATTGGAGACAGACCAGTTTAGGGGCAGTCAGTCCCGCGGCCGGGCAGATTGTGTGGATCATGGCTGGTAGACATTCAGTCCCGTTAGCCTAAGCATCCATACTCACTCCGGTGAACACTGTCGAGGACAAGGCTGCTTGCTATTATCAGTGAAGCCAGCTGAAGTCTTGTCATTGGTCCACCGTTCGAAGCAGGGCTTGACTGTGCATTGATTCAGGAATCCGATCTTTTCTCTAAACCACAGAGCTGATTTGCCCAGAAGTGGCCTTTATCCTGGATGGGTGTTAGTTAGAATTGCCATTTCTGTATGGTTTTCTCCGTTTCCTTCCGAGGCGTGTCTGGAGGATGGGGCTTACTGAGCAGATCTGGCTACTGGGGGCACCTTTCAGCAGCTCAGGCTCATGTCCAGAGTGGGCCTTCCCATCCCAGCTTACCTACTCTGCTTTCCCAAAGAGAAGAATGTGTTTCAGAAAAGAGTATTTTGGGGGGACTTGGGGGGGCAGTAGATAAAGTGGTTAGTTCTGAGAGCCACTGATGTGTAGATTAAGCGATGAGTAGAGCTTGGTCTGTGTGTTGTAGTAGGGACCTGGTGCCATGTGGGGCTTGCTTCCTCACTGGTCCCCAAGCCTGGGCTTCAATGAGGAGCTGTCTCAGTGCGGTGATGTAATGCTAGGCTGAGCCTCATGGTTTTCTCTTTAGCAGCGAACCATAGTTAGGAGCAGGTGTGCACCGATCATTTGTCTTCATCCTTGTAGCTTGGGAAAGCGTCCTCTTACAACGGGAGGCACATCAAGCTGGAGACTTTTTTTTTTTTTTTTTTTTTAATGCCGTGAGCCTTGGACTACGCCTACCCTGTTTTTCTTCCATGTGTAGTATTGTTAGATGCGTGGAAATACGTATCACCATGAAAGGCTCCAGCCTGGGCAGAAGAGAACAATTCCAGCCTATTTTTTGAAAGTCTCTAAACTGGAAATCAGTGAATAAGTGGGAGTCACCAGCTAGCTGGTATCAGGATTCACGCCTGTCAAAGAGCGTTCAAGACTTGGAAAAGACAATGTGACCGCATGTTTGGGAAAATATGCTCCTCAGCCATTGGAAATTCAGCTCACCAGCCGCCAACATCCCCGCCCTCTTTCCCTGTCGAGTCAACAAATGACCAGTATTCTGTTGGCCGAGGGCTGAGTTTGGGGGAGATTCTCTTTAAGGCAGAAGCTGCCTTTTGGTAAGGCCCCTAAGGTTCTGCCCTGTGGGGATAGTGGTGTTGCAATAAAACTCCAGGCTGATGGCCACATTGTGCTGCTGGAAGCTGCTTATCAATATTGCATGGTTGAGTTAGTCCCTGTGCACCAGCCTGAGGCATCTCTCCCTGGAACTGCTACTTGGGCAGTGTCTCTAAAGAGCGATCTTTAGGATAGTCCATTTACTCCCACTCTCCATCCCCCTCACCTCTTTGTTTTTGGAAATGAAGGGAGAGGGAATGTTTGGGGCTGGTGCCATTCCCAGCAACTATTCTTCTCTAAAACCCCATCTCTGCTGTCTCAATAACTAGGGCTTGTTTTGCTAGTACGGAGTTGCTCATTTCCAGTCCAGATGTTTTAGAACGTGTTAAGGGAGCACCCCTTTTCTGTACAGGCACAAGCCTTTCGTGAGAGTATGTATTTCCATGCCCCTAAAAACACATGTGTGTGAGTAGTACACAACGCTGTGCAGCACATGGTCTGTGGAGGACATAGAAGCTTCCGCTGTTGTCAGAGTTGCAGGGATGGAGATGGACTCGGGGTGCACACCTGCGGATACGCCACCCATGAAACCTGGAAGCTAGGGTGACCATTTCTCCTTTTTCTCTGCGGAAAGGTTGGCCTGAGTTGGGCCCATGCGGAAGAGTGAAACCCAAAGACAGGGGGAGGCAAGATGATTTGGAAGTGCCCGCAGGCATTTTATTTTAGTCCCAGGATTTCTTTCCTTCTGATTTCAGGTTTGGGGTGCCTTTGGGCAGCTTTTGTAGCCCTAGCTGGTAGCTTCACTCTGTACTGAGTGCAGTCGGGTAAGTGCGTGGGGGTGGGGAAGGTGAGTGGGTCTCCTACTTGGCCAGTAGAAGCCTGGAGGAGCAGGAAGGCCTGTGGTGCTGGGGGGTGGGGCAGGGGGATGGAGGCTCAAGCATTGACCCTGCCCTTGCTCCTCCCAGGATGGTCCCCAAACTGCTGCATCGCTTCCCCTAGGGGCTTGTTACAGATGCACAACCTCAGCCCCGCCCCCCCCAGACTGGCTGAATCTGAATCTCCATTTTAACCAGAGATTTGTAAAGATGCCCCGTGAGCTGTAGAGAAGAAAGTTTGAGAAGCCCTGAGCTAGCTAATTCTCTCCATTCTGGTCCCTGAGGAACTCTGGCCACTTCTCAGGCTGCTTCTTTCCTGTCTGGGAAAGAAGTTCTGGTAGCAGCAGTAGCCCCTGTTTCCAAACAGAACAGGGGTAGCTGGGAGAGAAGAAACCCTCTGCAGAAAACACTCCCTTCCCGGCGTGGGCCCCTGGGAAGTGCGGGGAAAGGACAGGAAGTGCTCAAGTGAGCGTGGTCCCTGCTTATTGACCAGACTTGCTCCTGCCTGTGCCTCTGTGTCTCCTTCCACAGCAGCCCCTTGTGGCTCAGCTTCTGCTAAGCCCAGCAGCAGGACGTGCTCTACCCTTTGTTTAGTTGGAGCCCACCCTTTCCCCAGGGCTCCCGATCAGCTAGGGGAACCCATGCCCCCCATGCTCCTGTAGATCAGAGTAGAAGGGCCAGGCTAGATGGAGAAATGTGAGGAAGCCAGGAGCAGCCGGCCTTGGGGGAGAGGGGGGTAGGTTAAACATGGTGGCAAGTACGCAGTGAAGGTTTTACACTCCGACTAAGAGAAGGATGTGGCATTTGCCAGGACGGGAGAACTGGATTGGGAGCACTCTGGGGGAAAGTTGACGAGTTTGGGCTGGGGCTTGACAAGCAGGTGGGATGAGAACAGCAGTTGAGAGAGTGGCCAAGGCGAGCGAGAACTCGTGGGCACCACCTCACTGGGGAGCAGACGTCTGCACCCAACTGAGTCACAGACGAGAAAGCAGAGACTTGGTCCTTTCCTTTTCCTGTGGCTCCCGATCCTCTCTTTCTGGGTTGGGGGCTGTTGAGAGGGCCTGGGGACTCTGGCTCAGCCCCACCTGCCTCAGAGGGTTTCTCAGACGTTAGGGGCCTTGTCTGCGAAGACTCGGAAGACAAGAGCACCAGACCGTGGCAAAAGTGGGGACACTGTGTGCCTGGAAATTGCTGGCATTTCAGTAGCTCAGAAGGGGCCGGAGAGGGCTGCTGGAGCTCCTGATAAGAATCTTTCTTTAGGCCTCACTGGATCACTTTCAAAGCCCTGTTTCTTGAGGTGACCCTTGGCTAAGTCATTTCGCTTAAATGACAGCATCCCTAATGTGGGCTGCAGATGGCTGTTCAGCTCCAGGAAGCACATTTCACTTTGGATATTAGCCCTGGACAAAATTAGTAGAGTTTTGTTCCCCCTAACATTGAATAAGCTGCAGAGTTATCCATGCAGTGGGAGTTGCCTGAGTCCTGAAGGAACCTGCTGGGTACTTAGTTCAGGTTGCTGTGACAGAGGTACCACAGATGGGGGCGCTTCAGCAGTGGACACTGATTTCTCACAGTTCTGGAGGCTCTAAGTCCGAGGTCAGGGCGCTGATGGATTTGGTGTCTGGTGAGGACCCTCTTCCGGGTTTACAGATGGTTATGCTCTCCATGCTTCCCCGGCCACAGCAAAAGGAGCAGAGATTTGGTCCTTTTGTGGTGGAGGGGGAGAAGGGAGGAGGATGGCGGAGGAGGGAGACGGAGTGCAGGGGGCAGTGGGGTGGGGAGAGAGAGAAAGAGAGATCTGTCAGTGTCTTCTTTTAAGGGCGCTGATACCATTCACGAGGACTCCACCATCACGATCTAGTTACTTCCCACAGGCCCCACATCCAGATACCATCACACTGGGGATTAGAGTTTCAACATATGGATTGTCTTTGGGGGAGGACGCAAACATTGAGTCCATAGCAGGTGCTTTTCCTCAGCTGTCATTCCTAGATCTCTCCAGCGTGGCCCCTGTGGCCCTTTACTACTTTCTCTGTGGGGGCTTACCTGTAGGCTTTCTCTCAGGTGAGCTGAAGGCCAAGAACATTCTAAGGCCCTCCAGGTAGCTGCCAGTTGTCCGGGGAGTCATGCTGTCCCTTTCTGCTGGGGCACTGGGATGGGGCACCCACCGATGGTAGGGTGCGCAGCCAAGACGGGTAAGCGTTACATCTGGGTCAGTGGAGTCTGGGCCACTCTCCCCTCATTGACCCTCGGCCCCCATCCCCATGTTTCTTTCCACTCTCTATGGCCTCTTTCTTTGGCTATATCTTTGGTTGCCTAGGAACCACTTTAGCCTGAAATATGATTGGCTGTTCTTGCCAGATGGATTGCCTGAGCCGGGGCCGAGTTCCTGGGTAAGCAAAGGATGTTGAATAATTCCATCCTTTCCCCTTAAGATTAATGTTGAGGACTTAGGCATTGTAAACAGTGGCTCCGTGA